GATGTCAGTACTAGATCTATATGTTATAGATCTACCAGTGAGTCTAACTCTTTGGTAGAACATGACAATTATCATTTTTTTAAATTTCACATTTGGCTGTTTTTGTTAGCCTTTCGCGGCCAGGAGCTGATGTCATAATCGAGGTAAAAAAACAAGCACATTGAGCAGTCAAGAGATTATTAAGAGTTAGTTCCCCTTATATTTGTGAGGTAGACTCGACCAGTGTTAGTTAGCTTACATAAATCAGGGCTTCTGATTGATTATAACTGTGGCCCCAAAGGGGTGAACAGGGTATATGTGGCAATGAAACAGCTTTGACTGCTATGCACATGTTCCCTTCAAGTCTATTGGTAGACTCTTACAGCCTTACTTTAAGCTTACTTAATCAAAGCTTGCGACTGCTTATGGAGTGGCCCGAGAGGGGTGAGGAGGCTATTTCTGTGGCCGTGAAACTGTTTTGAATGTTAGGCATACTGTTCATTGTTGATTACGAACGTCTTTTTACGTTTAATTTAAAGAGGTTTACGTTTAAGAATGAATTTGACAGCGACAATGTTTCGAAATTAGGAAGGGAAGCAGTGATTATTTGATTATATAGACGCTTCGCCCCTGGAAATAAATACCCAAATATGAGAATAAAAACAAAAATTAAGTGAAGTATGGGAGGAAAGTCAACTTTGCAGAAAATGTTAGTATTGGAAAATAAAAACACAAGAGTTCTAAAAAGGCAATTCAATTTACCAGATTTTTAGCAACTTTAAATTAAACTAATGAGGATAAATCAGGGTTGTCAGTGAGGATTTTGCAAAATCACCATATAGATTTCATGAAAAACTTCTCTCTTTTTGTTGAAAAATCACTAAATAAATTTACAACGCTTGCCCCCTACGAAAACTTATCAGTTTTGATAAACAAAAAATTCTCAAGGCCCAAGTCACTTGCTTTGGCAGCCCTGGGATAAATAACACATAGGTATCGATGTTTAGAGCAGGTATCGGTACCGATACCGATACCTATAGGTATCAATGATAGTAAATAACAAGATGGGCCACTTCTCTCTTTGAGCCAAATAAAAAAGTGTCCTCAAAATTTGGTGGCGCCCTCTTCACAAAAGCGCACTCTTTGCGAACAGAGTTACCCTACTTGAGTTATAAAAAATCAAAGTGAAACTAGCAAGTTTTGGGATAAATTTCGGAAGAACGCTTTTTTAAATGGTTACCCTGACAAAAAACCTCTTCCGGAGGAAAGGGTGATGGTTTTCTTCGTTTAATTTGACTTTAGAATGAAAGGCGAGAGGTCATTAAAATTTTAAAAACCTAAAACTCCGCACTGAACGTACCCGAACTGCTGATGAACAGCAGTCGATCTGCGCACGCAAGGAGGTGCTATTCCTATTCTTCTTCTGGAAAAACGAAAGAGCTTCAAAACAGACAGCAGCGCCATCTGAAGCAAAGAGCATACTTCCTGCGGACACTTTTTTGGCTGAGTGGCCCATCTTGTTATTTATTATCATTGTAGGTATCTAAGTATCGAGTACCTGCCCATCACTAGCCCACAGACAAAATTGTACGCTTTTAATAGGCCTAGGCTACAGTTGTAATGGAACGTTTGTTCACGGCACAGAATTCTACAATTTTTCTGTTATCACCATAGATGTACACTATAGTCACCAGATACCGTACGCCCCTCTCTCGCCTTGCTGCGCGATGGCCACATTTGACAGCGGCGTCCGCCATGTTTCGGTGGGCGAGTTGTGTGAAGGAATTCAAGCTAAAGCAATGGGCCAGGCATGTTTTCTCTCCCTCATACGCGATAGGCGATCGGCTTGGTCCTTGTTAACTTTTTTTTTTACGTGGGCGCCGTGGCGTACTATCTAGGTTACTAAATAGCAATAATACAGCGTTCTTTTTACTACTAGATCTACAAACAAATGTATTATTAAATAGATAGAGATAGAGATATAGGCTTAAAAATGGAACCCCACAAAAAACCTTTATTTCTTCATCAGCGCTATATCTACGAAGTGGTTTATTTCTTATTGACTGAATCAAAGCGTAGATCTATAGGGCCTATCGTCAACTTATAAAAAGAAGTATGAATTAAGATGTGGTATCATGGGAACCTCCCAATCACCCCACCCTTTCTCTCCTCCCGAATCTCAATACCCCCCCCCCCCCCAAAAAAAAAACAAAAAAACAAACACAACAAAAAACAAAAATAAAAAACAAACAGTTTGGCTTTAAATTAAACCAAGATGAGTCATAGAAAAAAATTCAAGTTTTTCTTCCATTAGGTGCAGGAAGGCACTGAAGCTCTTCATAAAGCATAAAACTTTCCCTAGTGACATTTGAACAGGAAACTGTATTTTTCATTCTTATGTTCACTTTTTGTAAATATTATTATACATGTACCAAACAAGTAGATCTAGTGTTTCTTCATGTCAGTATTAAACTTTTTTAAAAAAGAACTAAAGTAGATGATCTACAGCATTTAAACTAAAGTTCCTTTAATTGCTGTTTTAAGTAAATCTAATTTGGGGCATTAGGAAAACAACTGAGACAGCTCTGGACTCACTAAAGATAAAAAAGGGAACTTAACGTTGTTTTGTAGCCTGGACAATTGTTTGTCTACACAGTGTAGTGATGACTGATATTATGCTGTACATATATAGCAAGCTCAGCACCAAACGCAATCTGGCTATGGTTTCCTTTGTCACCAATAAACTTAGATATCTATCCTATACACTGCTTCATACATTTTAGACACAAGCCTATCTTTGGCTACTCCCATCCATCATTTTCCCATAAAAATAATTAGGATTGATGATGCTGTTATATTACTATGTTTTATATATATATATATATATATATATATATATATATATATATATATATATATATATATATAAATATATTAGTATACTATAAATATAATACAGTAGTCTCCGCCTAAGATCCCGCCGCTTACGATCCCGGTTCGCTTAAGATCCCGTTGTTTTAGGAAAACAGAATTTTTACTATACAAAAGCCACCCCTAAGATCCCGCTCTGATGGTCTACATTCGGCTAAGATCCCGCATTTCAGATCATAATTTGCTAAACAAAAACCCGGGCGGGCACAGCCGATCAACCAAGAGTGAAAAGTTGAGATCAATAAACTGTCCGTCTCGTCAAAGATCAGCCACTATCGTGAATGTGATCACATACACGTAGTAAAACTCGATGAAGCGATACAATGTTTGCCCCAGACGGGATCACACCGCGGTGTGAACTGACCGACGCGTTTGTTTTCCCCACGCATCGCACTCACACCTGAGCTCTCCCCCTAAACTTGCATCACTCGCTGGGTGGGTAGGGCCTACAAGTTCGCTCCTGGCAGGATCACATCGAACCGTGAACTCTTCCTTGACCATTGCAGCAGTTGTCTCTACTCCCGAACTTGCGAGACAGACTGAATTTTAATTGGTGTGTCCCCGACGTAATGGTGTGTAACGACAAAGGCGGTTTGGAGGGAGGGGGGGGGGGGGGCTCGGTCAGAGATGGAAAGCTATACATTTTTGACAGGTAAAGAGGAGGGGCAATTGGATAATCGTAGATCCTGAAACTCATGATAGGATAATAAGTGGAAATGGCACGCCTCATCCCACTATGCACCGTGATAGGTCATCAACGTTAACCACTCTTTGCTCGCCATATGCCATAAACCCACCAAGAGGGAACGCCAGTTCATCTTAGAGTGGAGGGAGACCATTTTACCGTTATTGAGCCTGAACATGGTTCACCATAGATCTTCCCTGGGTTCGTCGGTTAAGATCCCGGTTCGCCTAAGATCCCGCATTTCCTTGCTCCCGAGCACCGGTATCTTAGGCGGAGACTACTGTATATATAAATATAATATATATAGATCTATTTAAGTCAGTGAGTTAAGTGAGTGAAATTGGTACCTCAGATTAGTAGATCTAGCTTGGATTTTGTGATGTTTAAGTAAGTAATTAAACACAAAGACGAGGCAAAATTGCAGTGGTTACATCTGATATCAATTAACTGAAAGGTAGGCACTGATCAGACCAGACTCTTAATCTCTTCGAATATTTTCTTCAAAACGGAGATCTGGGTCTAGATCTAGATCTAATCTGTCTAAATTCTTATCAATCTTATTCTTACTCTTACCAATGAAATGAAAGAGGGGTTCCTTTGGAGGCTCTGTTAGTACACTAATAAATGCAGCAGTGTTGCACCATCCTTTCTGGTCTCGTTTTATTGTAAAGAAAGTCTCTAAGGATGCAATAATAAAAACAATAATAATAAAAATAATAATAATAATAATAATAATAACAACAACAACAATAATAATAACAATAATAATAACAACAACAACAATAATAATAACAATATAATAATAATAATGCAGATCATTTCTATAGCGCCCACGAACACAGCTCTATGTGCTTTACATAAATGCATGTATGAGCAATATTCACACACACACACACACACACACACACACACACACACACACACACACACACACACACATGCACGCACACATCACACGCATACGCTTACACATCGTACAAACATGATCTAGATCTAGAGATCTAGATCTCGACGTCTAGATCTATGGGGATTTGGCTTTTCTTTGGGTTACATAAACGAGTTTCAGTATTATTTTCATTAAGCTGGAGCATATTATCAATCATCCAGTTCTTGACATCATCAATGCACATACCCATGGTGGCAGGGGAGGTTTTAACATCTAGATCTAGTGGTGGAACAGATTTATACAACTGTTTATTATCTGCGTACATGTGATAATTCATACTCAACTGTGCTTTCTAGTCACAGCTCCAAGCGGCTGTGTATATAACGTATACTCGATTGGACCAGAGAGGGTTTACAGTAATATAATAGTTACTAATAGAGAGGTGACACTCGTGGCGGCGCTCCATAACAATAGTGCATTGTTTCGCGTATCGCCCGGCACGGGGCGCGAAACACTTACGCGCGGTGATCGCTGCCACGGCGATGCTCAGGGGTGCTGTCATGTCATGAGAAAATGTAGAACCGTCTGTAGTTAATTCACTAGGTTACTAGGCCTTCAAAGAAAGGAGGCCTGTGAATTCTATCGCATATTTTAGGCAACCCCCCCCCCTTCCTCCCTCGGCCATAAATTATAAGACTTGCTTTTGGCTTAAGTTAATAAACAAATAGACGCAGATACATTTTTCTTCGTCTCTATATATAGATCTGAAAAAAAAATCCCCATAATTAAAGGAATAATCGGTTTAGTTTTCAGCAAATCTACTCGTTCTCCAGTGTCCCTCTGTCATCTCTCTCCCTCTCTGTCTGTCTGTCTTTTTCTCTCTCCCTGTCTCTTTTTCTCTCTCCCCCTCTCTCCCTCTGTCCGCCTGTCTGTCTGTCTATCTCTTTCTTTCTTTCTTTCTTTTTCTTTTTCACCCCCTCTCGACCTGTCTATCTGCGTGTCTGTCTGACTGTCTGTTGGTTTTGTCTGTCTGTCTCTCTCTCTTCTCCTTCCCCTTCCCTCGTTCCGTCTATTTGTCTGTCTGCCTGACTATCTCTGTCTGTCTGTCTGTCTGTCTGTCTCTGTCTGTCTGTCTCTGTCTTTGTTTCTGTCTCTCTCTCTCTCTCTCTCTCTCTTTGTCTCTCTGTCTCTGTCTCTGTCTCTGCCCCTCTCTCTCTTTCTCTCTCTCTCTCCCTCTCTCTCTCTCTCCCTCTCTCTATGTGTCTCTCTTTCTCCCCTCTATAGCTCTGTTTATTTGTCTGTCTGTCAATCTGTTTCTCTGTCTCAGTTTCCGTCTGTCTGTCTGTCTCTGTCTCTCTCTCTGTCTCTCTCTCTCTCTCTCTCCCTCTCTCTCTCTCCCTCCCTCTCACACACACACACACACACACACACACACACATA